AGCAGAGTTGGTTTCTTCTAACGGGCCTGAGGGGAGCATCTGTTCCAGGTCTCTCTCTTTGACTTGTAGATAACTGTCTTCTTCCTGTGTTTTCACATCGTCTTCTCTTTGTACACTTCTGTGTCCAAATTTCCTCTTCTTGTAAGGACACAAGTCGTATTGGATTAGGGCCCACCCTAATGATCTAATTTTAACTTAATTACCTCTTTAAAGACCCTACCTCCAAATACAGTCACATTCTAAGGTCCCAGGGTTTAGGATTTCAACATGTGAATTTTGGGGGAACACAGTTCAGCCCGTAATACCACATATGACTATGGTGTATTCAAATCTTTGTCCTGCTTGTTTTCTCATATTAATATCTCTGAGGTATTCAAAGTCATGTATGTTTCCCTGTAAAATGTATCCAGGTAACCTATAATTATGAGTGATTATTTTTCTAGACATGATTTATTTTTAATAAATACTGAAAGTTCTTGGTTAGGAAGGATTACTCTGCTAGGAATATTGCTCCATCTAGTGGCCGCTATATTCAACTACTTCTGTCAAAGTTATAAAAATGAATAAAGGGGCACTATGTTGGAGAAAGGGTTCTCTTTTCAACAGGCTATTATTCACAGGGCACTAAGGATTCATGATAAAAAATATTTTTTCCATCACTGTATGTGGAATGAAGGAGAGGTCTACATAATGACACTATTTTTAATAATTCAAGTAATATCAGTACCATCATTTACTATCACTACCACTTACTGTGTATTTTTTATCTCCATGAGGAAACTGAGGCTTGGTTTACTCCCTTGCCCAAGATCTCACAGATTATCAGTAGTGTTTGTTCGAAGTCTATATGACTTCAGAGTTTAAGCTCTTAATCATTCAGGATAAATAAAAAGAAACTCAAACATTCTGTAATGCATTCCTAATAAGTGACACATCTAAGCATACACCTAAATGAATACTCACGTTTGTCTTCAGTCTTGATATATACTTAAACTTTATCTTGAAATGATACTTTATTGTTCAGTGTTTGTATCGTCGTTGATGTGCTGTGTCAAAGTGTGTCTGTCTGTCTTAGATAATGAATTTATAAAGGACACAATCCAAAACCAGGTCAGTATCTTATAGTTTATTTATTGCATACCTTGAATTACATCGTACATTTAAAATAACTATTAAAAAATTTGGACTTTTTTGGTAATTTTAAAGAATAATTTTTGTTTCTCTATTATACAGGTTGAATGCAGCAGCTGACTTGCCTGGAAACATCAGGAAACGCTTTTGCAGAAAGCTGAGTTCGGTAGGATAAATACAAGTTAGAAAAGGATG